CAGTGATGTAGAGTTTGCCCCCAGGAGGCAATGAGGTATTTGTCATTGAGGTAGAGTTTGGCCCCATTGGGCACTGAGGCACATGGTAGCAAAGTAGGCTGTGGCTCCATCAGGCACTGAGGTATTTGGCCCACACGGCACATGGTAGCAAAGTAGACTGTGGCTCCATCAGCCACTGAGGTATTTGGTCCACATAGTCACACACCAAATTCCACCCCCGCACTGTGCCTGAAGAGACACAAGATAACATACTGTAGTCCTCCAAAAGTAACTACGTTTTTTAAACTTACACACACACACTGTGCCTGAAGAGACACCAGATAACATAGGCCTCCAAAAGTAACTAAGTTTTTTAAACTTAAAGCCCTGCCAACTAAGTCACAGAGTGAGACACACACAACCACAGGAATTAAATGTTCTTAGGAAAGAGATTCCACAGTCACCCACCAAATTCTCTTCTCCCCGCCCCCGTGAACACAAGCCTCCAAAAAAGATGTAGCCTAAGCTATCTTCTTCCCCCCTCCATGAACACAAGCCTCCAAAAAAGATGTAGCCTAAGCTAACTGAAATAAATGAAATAAAATGAACAAGAAAAAGAAGTGTCTGCTTTGCTGCCACAGAAGTGAAAAAAGCACAGCCACAGCTAGCAAGCAAGTAGCACACAAGTACCAGTCAACAGCAACTGTTCTTACTCTGGAAAGAATCAGAACAGAAGTGGGAAATGACTGTAGGAGGAAAGCTTATAAAGTCTCTGTAAAAGTTACACCCCCACAGCCCTTTCAGCAGCACTATTGGTTGGCTAACATGCCAATCCAGGATCTCAGGACAGCTTCTGATTGGCACCAGCAAGCTTAGAGATCACATAGAGAGGCACCCCAAAGGGTAACAACTATAGACAAATATTGACAAATCAACGAATAAAACTGGGAAATATTCATCAAGTAATATTCATTGGGACTTAAAATTTGATAAATATGGATTGACGAATATATGACGAATTGGCTATATTCGTCAAAAATCATGATTTGTTTTTATATTCGTCCCCATCTCTAATATGTACGATCAATGTCTTTATTGTATATTGCCTCAGACATTTTGTGGCTGAAAGGTGCGATGCGCAAATTAAATATGGAAATACATAATGGAATAACCATCATGAACAGAGCCATTTATACAGAAAGATGAGTAAGTAAATAGGCTTTGTACTTTCAATAGCTTATTGATGAGGGCAGGGAAGATATCTGCCCAGAGACCCCATTGGGATCCACTGCAAACTAAAAAGCATAAATAGACTACCAGTAGCAGGCCTAGAAATGGGGCAGTCCAGAGTAGAGTAAAGATGAACTAGAGATGGCTTTGGGTGTGTTGGAACTACACAGGCAAAAGCTTGATTATTTCTTGGTTTATTAAGAGCAGATGTTCATATAAATGAGCTCTAAAGCTGTGATACTATGAATACCACAGGATAAACTGAGAATCATTGAGCAGAGATAGGATTTACACATGAGTAAGTATGCAGAGAACCAGGCTGTAAGATACACAACCAGCATGAAAGACTTCCAAAGGCTATATTTGGGGAGAAGAATTTTGAAAATGGAATACCTGTCCTGATGACAAATGAAATATAGACAACACTTACTTTTAAATCTTAAAATTTGGAAGTATATAAATGAGTCCCAAAGCATCAAAAGTCTACAAACTTAAAGCAAGTCTTAAACAAAAACCACCTACCCAAATATTGTGTTTTGCATTCCTATTAATACAATATATTAATTTTAAGATAGAGCAATATCATATATAAAGATCTATTCAAAACTAAATTCCATTGGGCTCATTGTTGTATATTGCCCTCTATATGCATATTCAGTGTCTCCCAAGCTGCAGAAAGCCAATGTTTAATTAAAAGGAGCCAGTTTACTGTTACTGTATTAAGATTTCTGTAGTTAATAACAAGTACAATTAATGTGCCTTACACCTGGGATCTACTTTCATCACCCTCAGGGATCCAATCAAGATCATCATAAAATAGCACAAAGTGCTTTCCCAGTAGTTGGGGCAATTTCCTTCCAAATAACCAATCATATGAGTAGTAACATTGTTTATACATTTTCTTAATTTTCCAGGAGTTATTTTGCTGAATAAATTATTTTTCTACTGTACTTCTCCACAACGTTATTTTCAGTTTAATTTTCCAGGTAGATATCCCTTCCACCTATTTCCACTTAAGTCTTTGTCTCACATTGTCCTATTACTGGTGTTACAGTGGCTAGTTAGATCCTGAAGTACCGGTAGTTTATTTGGCACAACTCTTAGATTGTTTGCAGCGAATAGTTTCTCAAACTTGTTTTCTTTCTCTTTTATGTGGACATATCATTGTAAGAAGTCCCAGTCTGAGGTCCAGTTATGAGGAGATGTGTGGACTTCATCAGCCCATATCATCATTGTGACACATAACACCATGTGGAATCATTATGGTGGCATTTCCTCACACTATTCTTATCAATGCTTTCTCTTTGCAGAGTTAACACTGTTCATTGCCTTCTCCTTGCAACGATTTAACACAATTTCATCGTATCACTTTTTTTTTTCAAATTTCATGTTACTAGGGAGATATTTGTATTGGTTAACAGCACCCAAATTTCAACTTCTGATAAGAAGTTTGGGTTTCAGAATGTTGAACCTCTCTTGAGAGGCTCTTACTCGTCTTCTCATAAAACAAGAAGGGAGTATATAAAGAACATGGAATGGTCAGGATTTTCTTTATCTGTATTCACCTAACATGTTTCTGTGATGGTAAAGCATTCCCCGAGAAGCTGGTCTATTAGTACAAATGCAATCCTAGATATTTAGGACTGTAATCCTAGATATTTAGTACTTCTGTCCTCAGATGTTTATTATCTGTTGTTTGTATGTCCTGTGCTACAGAACACAATCCTCTGATCAAATGTATTATACATTCAAAGGGCTCTCAAGTCAGCCTTAAATCAGGCTTTAAAAGATTTAAAAAAACACAATAAAGGACATTTCGGACTTTAAAATCAGCTTATAAATACAGAGTTAGGTATGTTTAACCTGGAAAAGAGATGGTTGAGATGTAATACAATAGCTGTCCTTAGATATTTGGAAGGTCACCTGAAAGATGGAGCAAGTTTATTTTCTGTGGTTCTAGAGCAGTAGTTCTAGACTAAAACTCCCTGAAGCCTTCACCACTAGCTGTGTGGGCCAGGATTTCTGAGAGTTGTAGTGCAAGAACATCTGGGTGCCCAAGGCTTGGAACCACTGTTCTAGAGGGTAAGGCCCAAATCAGTGGATTCAAATTGCAAGAAAGAAGATTTTGATTAAACATAGAGAAAAAAATTACTGACAGTCCAGTGGTCTTTCTTGGAAGATGGCGGCTCTCCTTCACTGGAGATTTTTCAACAGAGGCTGGGTTGCTATTTGTCATGGAGTGCTTTAGATGAACACTTCCTGCAGTATCAAGGGGTTGTGTTTGGCAAACCTTGGAATCTATTCTAGCTCTACAGTTCAGTGTTTTTGTGTCCATTGGTAAGCACCTGAAGAGCCGACTAGAAAAATATTCTTCCCCACAATAATGGGATGCATTGCATTTCTGTAGTAATTGCATCTGCATCTGTATCTAGGCTAGAATCCTATTAGCAGGCCCTACTACAGTACATCCTTATATCCAAAAGTTGGACCTGATTAACAAAAGTCATCATTCAACCGTTGATTGTGTACTTGGCACTAGGAGTAAGATATAGGCCCTCATCACATGAACAAACATATGCCAATCTGTACTCTTTTTTGCCCCTTCATTTGCTGGTACTGTATATATCCCTAAGGTAGAGTTAACTTTTAGCTCTAGTTTTCTCTCCCCATTAGTAGTAAATGCTTTAAGTCAAGAAATTAAGTTCTGTCCTTTTCTCATTTTTAGAATTGCTGCTTGATAGTGCATGTAAAGATTTGGGATTGCATGTAATATATCGAACGTCACCCTTGATCTTTCATTTGCTTAAGTATGCTGATCTGTGCAATACTGAAGTTCTAGGGGCATCGGAGAGGCTTGATTTCCTTGCTTTCCATGCTGTTCCCCTCTCCGTCTATTAGCTTGAGATGATTCAAGGTGCATATGGTATGGCTTGGACTGGGAACAGGCAAGGATAGTGAGGAGGTGCTTAATTTCATTAAATTCATCTTTTATCCATAGTTTTACTGAATCAAATAGTCTGAGTATTTTCTTCCATAATTTGAGCACCCTTTTAAAGTCCTTTTTGGTTTACTGTTCGATACTTTAAAAAAAATACTGTAAGTAATGTTATTTTGTTGGCTAGCTGGATAGTTCAGTGGTTTAGGTACATGGGAGTTTGATTACACACTGTGCCTCCCATGGGTACAGGCAGCCTTTGTGGCCTTGGGAAAGCTGCACAATCCCAGGATGACCCCAGAAGAAGGTAAACCACCTTTGACTCGGTATTCTCTGCCTAGAAAACCCTGAAAAGGGTTGTCAGAAGTCAGAATTGACTTGATGGTACATGATTATTATTAATGTCATTTTTATATAGACCATCCACCCAAGTTCTGCTAAAAATACGTATTGTTTTGTTTTACTGCAGTCAGATTTCATAAATGCAACATCCTTGGATTTGCATGTAAAGCATGTAAGCCAAGAAGAACAGCTGCGTTTACCCCTCCAGAATACTGTCCAGAGAGGATAATTCTCAGCAATTTGAGGAGAACCAATAACCTTTTTCTTTCCAGCTATTTGGCCTTGAGATATTGTGCTGGCATCATAAAACCACTTTTTAAATAAGATTGAATACAGTTAAACCCACATACACCTTCTCACTTTCTTACAAAAAGGATGGAATATGAATATGTTGAATAATGCTACAGCAACAATATTGTGTCCACATGTCACCCATTAACCTTTTATGTTGTTGTTTCCACTTTTAAAACTAAGAAGATGCTAGTTGATTAAACAGCATTATTTTGTGTTACAGCTGGGGGCACTGAAGAAGTGAACAGCAGAATGAACGTGGTCAATGAAGACTGCATGAACACTCCAGGAATGTATTCAGATCTACCCTCTAAAAGTCAGATACCCAAATGTCAAGGTATCTTACAAATCCAAGCTCTGAGTTAATTACATCTTGTGTTAATGTTAAATTGCATCTCACCTGTGAAATGCATGTACAGTTTCAACTGTCTTCCTGTCTTGCCTTTCCTCCTTCACCACCTCCTCTTCTTCTCTTCCTCCTGTCGGGGCCCGGTGCAGCCCTTCTGGAGTGCAGGGGACAAGTCTTTGGCCCCTAGATTCTCAGATGGTTCCTGGGCCTGCTCTAGAGAAACTGAAGATCTTTGATTCAGCAATGGTAGTGTCTTAAGCATTAGTTTTAGTGAGAAATAGGATCCTTCTTTTTTTTTTTTTTAAACCAGGGACATAAGTATGTGTAGCAAATGAAACTACAGTTTTACTTTATCCATCCATGCTTTTGTTACAGACGTGAATGCACTGCACAGCCACTGCTTAAGATCACATTCCAATGATGATCATGGTAATCTACAGCACCATTCAGACGTTCTGCTGCACAGCGTTCTGGATGACATGGAAGAGGATCCAGAATATGAAGGCACTGAGGAAAAGATTGTTTATCTTTAATCTCTCGTCCTGTATTATCGGTAGCACTTTGGGGTAGTTTTTCTAATTCTTCATAGTTGCACTTTGTCCAAATTGGTTTGAAGATGTATTATTTATTACAAGTGCAAAGTTTTCCATACCTGTAAGTTATTTTAAAAAATACGATGTAATATTTAAATTATGACACATTAAATCTGAAATATTCTACAAATAACATCAAACACTGGTGAACCTTGCAACCAGGAATGACATGCAATGAATAATAGGAGGTTTGGAGAGTTAATGCAACTCAGCAACTTCTCTGAAAAGAGTGAAACAAAAGGGATCATGAAAAATTGGAAGTGAGAGTTTGTTGGGTTACCAAACTTTTTTGGTATTCTAGGCATTTATAGTTTAACTATAATATAGGTCCCTCAGAATGGATAGTTTTCTTGGTGCTGTGACTGCTTCAGAATATCTGCCATAGAATAAACATTATAACATATATGACTGAAATTCTGTTAGTTCTGTAAGTCACACTAGAACAGGACCATTGAATGAGTGGAGATTTGGTGAGTCAACTCTTCCATAAATTCCATTGATTCAAAAGGGCCTACTGTGCTTGTGACTTACTTTAGCAGTGTGGTGCTTAACCTTTGTTACTCGGATGCTTTTGAACTGCAACTCCCAGAAACCCCAGTCAGCACAGCTGGTGGTGAAGGCCTCTGGGAGTTGCAGTCCAAAACTCCTGAGTAACTCAAGGTTAAGAACCAGTGCTTTAGCATATGAAGCTGCTACTAGAGTAGGCCCATTTGAATCAGTGGAACTTAAGAAGGAGTTCACTCACCAAATGCACTCATTCAATGGGCCTACTCTAGTGTAATTTGCTAGAATTTCAGTCACTATATATCATTATTATCACATTTATCTCATGTTGTTCAAGAGATGGACAATGCATAGAAAAGCTCTAAGGTGATAATCCAACTTAATGCTCTTTACAGACTCCCTCACTCCCTACGTCCATATGGGGAAGGAGACATGAATATTTTATCAGATAAGGATGGGCCAAATCCTGTTGACTTTCCACACATGCACAATAGCAATCACGTAAACTGCCACAGCTGATGACAGCTAATCTGCAAGATGTCTGCTCTGTGCCAAGCATGAGCCAGAATACATGATGGGGACCATGACCATCGTGTGTCCACCATGTGGTCACAGAGGTGGTTTCCCTGTAGCTCTAAAATACCAGCATGATTTTGAACCATGTCCACTCTTTTGGATCACTTTGGCCTCTTGTGGTGGAGATACTGCGTTAGAGCAATCCAAGATTGTCTCCCAAATTAGAGTTGAAGTAACATTCCCCCCCACCCCCCACAGTGAACATTTTGAGTTATAGTTTAACATGGTCCTATGATTAAGTGTGGAGATTCAGGAAATGGGTCTATCCACAGCTGCATGTTACCCACTCCAGGCTTCCTCCTTAGCACATATTTATCTCATGGATCCAGCCTCAACAAGCATGTCTGTAATTTGCTCCTTATAGCTCTCTAGGTCAGTTTGATGAAGTACTGCATTGGAATTTGTTCTTGGCTACTGCAACTGCTCTTTCTTATTGAATAATTAAAATTCATCACATGCATGAATTTGTGAGGAGCTGGAAGGTGGAGTATTATTTTTTTATTATAAAAAAAGCAGTCCTTTAGGGGGGAAAAACCCAAACCACTCCTTTTTCCTCATATATGGACTACAAATTGATGTGTTTCTTTGATACATATGGCTATAAATAACAATATTTTTTCTGTCTATTTTCCAGACATAATTGTATACTTTTTCAATGTAATAAATATTCTATATGTCCAAATGTATGTATATGTGATCATTATTCCTAGTATCCATAATTCTTAGTAATACTGCAGTTTCTGCTATTCAGTTGTAATTACTGCAGTGTTTCAGATAGAGGTTGGAAAATCTGGGTTTTGAATAACAATTCCTAGACTCTTCCAGTGTGGAATGACCAGTATGGGGTGGGGGGTCTGCACAGACTGGTATAGATATCAGTAGCCTGTGCAGTCTGTCCTGGCAACCAGTAGATCTTATTCTCTCTCTCTGCTCCAATCAATCCTGTTTTGTGAACAGGTTTCCTTTGGCAATAGCCTTGGGGTTTTACAGCAGGCTGAACCATCGTCGTTTAGTCGCTTAGTCGTGTCCGACTCTTCGTAACCCCATGGACCAGAGCACGGCAGGCCCTCCTATCTTCCACTGCCTCCCGGAGTTCTGTCAAATTCATGTTGGTCGCTTCGATGACATTGTCCAACCATCT